GAATAATACCTTAGTTTTGTTGTACTCACTTTAAATCATATCCAAACTCTCCACAGAGCCTAAGTCTTCCCAAATATCTTTGAGCACATCTGGTATTCCACTAACTTCATCTCTATGCACAGACCTGTCCCACAGTCCTCAGTTCTGCCTGGTGTGGACAGGGTCCCTGCACACGTGGGGCAGGGCTGACATCCCGATCCCCTTCACCACCTCCTGGGCTGCCCTCTCCCTCTCTTGTTTGGCTCCCCTGAGGTCTGGATCCCCTGTGTTTCCTGTTCCTTGTTTTCTCATCATCCCCGCCTCCCCCACCAACTTTGCCTAATAGTGTCCCAGGGAAAAGAGCACGGAAAGTACAACACTGACACTCTGAAATGTCTTAGGCTCCCCTAGGCCTTACATGTTGACTTCATATTTAACTCTGTTGGAAATACTTGTTTTCTCTCAGAATTCAGAAGGCGTTGCTTCACTATCTTCTAGCCCCTTGAAGTTTTCAAGGTCTCTTCTTTTCCACCCTCTGTCTGAAATGTCATTGTGATGTGTCTTGGGCTGCGTCCGTTTTCATCCACTGCACTAAGAATTTGGTTAGGCCATTCAAGATGTAAATGTTGGTCTTAATCTGAGTTTTCTTATGATTCCTACTCTCCATTATTTTTGAAACTCCTTTTATTAACTTGTTAGAATCCCTTGATTGACAGGCAAGTGTTCTAACAGGTCTTGTCTCCTCCTTGTCGGTACTTTTCCATCTACTTACTGACAGTATGACTCTAATCTTCCACTTCATCTGTTCAAGTATTCATTCTATGACATTATTTTTAATTCCTAAGAGCTCTTTTTCACTCTATGATTGTATACAATTATATAGAATTCTGGTTTTGTTCCGTATTCCATTATCTGCTCCATCTTTCAGATATTATTGATAACAGCGGCAGGGGACCTGTCAGGACTCCTGTTACCTGCTCTCATGAGCTCTTCCTCACGGCACTTAGCGCAGTCCTGATGTGCATCTGTCTCGGTCATTTCTGTCCCCCTCCCGCACAGCAGAGCCTGTCTCCCATCACCAGGCGCCTAACTGTTGCTCTCCTCGGGTGTCTCCAAATCCTGATACAAGGTGGCCTCAAAAGAGACGTTCCTTAACTTCTCTGAGTCTCCCTTTCCCTGTTTGCACAAAGGGACCACATATTGGGCCCCTCATGGGTTTGCTTTGAGGCATAATTTGACCCTGTATGTAAATCACATGGAATGACTGCCTGAGACATAGTCAGTTCTCCTCTACTCATAGTGACCATCATTACAGTGATTGTAGCATTGAGATTATTTCTACTCTTTGCTTCTATAATTCAAGATACATCCTTGAATGCGTATTTTTGAGAACATGTCTAATCATCTTCTTAGGATAAATTTCTAAAACAAAAATTTCTGTGTCAAAATGTAAGCATATTGAAATTGTTGAGACACTTTGCAAAGATGCCCTTTAGAAATTTTGTAACTGTTTTCAATCCTATTAATCTTTATAACAGTGAATTTTTCCTATATTCCTTTCAAAATCAATACCCTCCTCATTTATTTTCATTTTGTCAAAATGGTGGATTTTAATTCATTCCCATTTCTTATTCCGCATTTTCATTTTTTGTTTACGTTTATTTATTGCTAATATATTTCTTTGACATTAGCGTTTCTTCTTTTCCAAATTGTTTCCTAATATCCTTTAGTTATTTTTCTTTTGGGATATAGTTACTTTAAAATATTGAATTCAGAAGGACAAAGCAGCCTCCGACCACAGGAACTGGTCTGACACTTACACGGGCCTCAGTGTTGTGAGAAGCAGGGCCAGGGCTCCCCACTCGGCCGTGCCATTCTGCTGTTGACATAAGTCATCTCACAGCACTTCGACATCAGACAGGGACACCTGAGACCATGACACAGGGAGAGAAGACAAGACCATGACATCATTATGTACATTGGAAGATCTATATAACTCAGTGAAACAATGTATTAGCTAAAAAATTT